ATATCCATATATTCTATATAAAAATGAAAAACGTAATAATAATATAATGTACTATATAATGTATAATGTATATATGTTAGTCATAATTTTATATTAATCATATGTTTTCATTAAATCCAGTTACCGAATGATATAATAAAACGTATATATTTTTGTAAAACAATTTTATTTTCAAATTTTGTAAATTAATTTTTTGTTGTAAGAATATACTGTTAAGATAGATGTTAATGTAAGAAATATAATTTATAAAAATAAATTTATTTAACATAATAGAAAAATTATTTTGTACATATTAATTTTGTGCTAAATATTTCAATTTTTATTAAATAAAGGTGATACAATTATTAAAAACATATAAACGATTAAGAAACATATAAAAGTAATTTTCTGTTAAATGTTTTTGAATTTATTTATTAAATATCTTAAAAATTTTTCATAATGTTTATACCTACTAATTTACCCTACTCGAAATTCCCACACGGTCTTAGTCTCCACTTGCTAGTTACTCTAAAAAAAGTTGTCATTTTTATAATGGTTTGGATTTTTTTCTGTTCACCAACAGCTACTTCAAGAAGTACTACTGATAGACTGTACGTGATTTGACATACGAAACTTTAAACATAAATAATAAAAAAGCGGTGACAAGCGTCCCCGAAAAATAAAAAAAGCTGCAAATATAATTGAAAAGTTGGAAAGGAAAAATCATAAAATGAAATCATTGTTAATGGAACGGGTATTAGCACTCTACTTTGATATGGATGTAACAATGAGAAATGTTAACAATAATGAGGTCTACATTAAGGTCTGCTGTGAATTGTATCCTGGGTGCAGATAGCATTTTAAATATTTCGCAACTGGAGAAAAAAGCCAATTCTAATGTTTATATGAAATGAAAGAGGGATTTGGATAGGTGTTCTGGACACAGTAGTTATAAGTAAAAATTCTTAAACAGATCCAGTAACTTTAAAGAATTTATAATCTCTGTAACACTAGTCCCACTAAAAATTTACAACAGCATGAAATGTGATGCAGCTCGGCTTTAATAAAACACAATGATTGATGTTAGCGATACTGATAACTGACAAAAAAGATAAAAATAAATATTTGTCTGATATTACACAATTATTAACCATAACTGTTAGCTCTTTATCATAACAATAATAATAATAATAATTATTAGTAGATAATAATTATAATAATGAGAAAAAAGCAAAAGTACCATCTCTTAAACCTCTACCAATAGTAATTCCAAATATTGTCGACATTTCAAAAATTATACAGAAATTCCTCAAAAAAAAGAGGGTGATTCCTCAAAAAATTAGAGTGATGATCAAATCTGTTTTGTCATATAGAGTTCTGATTGGATATTGGAAATTGAAGATTACGTTATATACGCATTAATTAAAACAAAAACGAGCTTATCGTGTCGTAATAAAAAATGTACATAGCTCTGCTTCTTTAAGCGAAATCTAATCCGAAATAGAAAAATTATGACCTAACGGAAGAAACATAAATATGTTAATGTCCGATTTCGCATAATAATGCAGCCATTATTTATGTTTCATGTTGATATGGAATCTTAAGGTAAATACAAATAAATATAGGAAACGGAATATTTAAAAGTGAAAACACTTCAGCTAGTTGCGTTGATTGTGTGTGTTTAGGAAACCATCCGACCAGTTTAAAAGGATGGCCAAATAAATTAATGGAACTGCTGGTTTTAAAAAAATAGGGGGTTAACTCAACAAACAAATCGAACTGACAAATACTTTATTGCGCAAATTAACTTTGCTAATAAAAAAATTTGTGCAAATAGACTTGTGACTTTGAGAATTTGAGTCTTCCAAACCCATTTTACTAATCGCACGTATTTCAACATAAGAGGATATGTCATAATTGCTTGTAATCTTCTTAACTAATAACAGAATACAAGGAGGATCTGACATGTTAAAATAAAAGTTATTTACGAAACTTTAGACGCAATTTAACAAAATTGTGTTATAAGCAACATGCATCAATATTAAATGTGACAATGATTACCTTCCTAACCATTTCTACTATATATTTTCGGCCATAAAATAGTGTACATTCTGAAATCTTTGAACGCTTTTTCAGTAAATTGGATCCAAAATAATCTGTTCATTCTATTGATTCCAATGTGAAACGCCCGGGAAACAAATTGAATAATGTAAAATGGAACTTGTATAAATTTATTTATGTACAAATGTGATGTTGGAGACATTGATATCCGCAGTATATATATATATATATATAGTCGAAATGCATCGTTGATACAATCGGTGTATCTTTGGACGATTTTATAAATGTTGACAATGATACAGTCAGCATCGCTTATACTACGGATGAAGATATTTTGAAAAGCAATACTGAAAATTATTAAGTATCGAATATAAAAAAAAAACTCAAAAGAAATAATAGATTAATTAATCGAACATTATAATTTTAATATTTATAGATTCAGATGAAGATTGGTCTTCTTCATGATCATGAATAAAATGAAAACTTGTTAAATTCCCAGCATATTTAGACACGCGTAAAGCGCTACAAATAGTACATACATTTACGGAATCCCGTAGCGATGTTCCTGAAAAAATTTTTGAGTCTATTAGACGATGTTCCTGCTAGAGTTCCTAATCAAGGAATTAGTTGAAATGTCCAACCAATAAAAAATATCACACTTTTTTCGAAGTTAAAATAATAAATTATAAAAATTTAATTATATTAAATAATAAATTATATAGAAATTAATAAAAAATAATTTTTCTGAATACAATATATAAACCAATATATTGTTACGATTTCAATTATGGCAGCAATGGAATAATTGAAAATAATTTGATTATGTTAATTAGTATTTTAAGTCAGTCAGAAATATTTGAGGTGTTTGGTGTTTCGAAAAACTGCTCTATATAAAATACTAGAATTTTAATACAACTGACGAAATAAAGCATATAGATTCTGAAGTCAAGAAGCTTCTTTCACTGTACAAAATCCTGCAATTCGAATGAACACACATTACAGGCGATAACTTAACAATATAATTAATGTGACGTGGTGACAAGTTCCCAAACCGTTTAAAATCTAATCTAATTTAATGATTAATCTTTTTAATGTTATGTATGTTTATATGAATAAACATGAATTAAATATATTTAAAAAAAAACTTGCTTTATCCTCTGCAAAGTTTTCTGCAGCACCTTTGACCTCATTATAGGGAGGTTTGACTGTACTAATATTTCTATTTATACAGCTCTTAAAAAAACAATCTTCAAATCTGGTGAAGAAAATGCGAATGATGATATTGAACATGAGGACGAATCCGACGAAGACTGCATCTCAGTGTGGCAGTCATAAAGGCGCCGATCAAAATGATATGAATGTCCTTAGATGTCTAAGGGAAAAAACCCTGTTTCAAATATTAGAAAAAGAAACAATAAAATGTGAATTTAAATGCGTAAATGTGTATTTCCTTTACTTTTGTTCGCCACTCGAAATCTTAAACAATTTGATAACGTGAACTCCTTTGGTTTTAATTAGTTCACGTTTTCGAGCGTACACTATATATGCAACAACATGTGATCAAGGTACGAATAATGGGAATTGCTATAAGTTATTGAATGTTTCAGTTAAAGACTATACTTCATTTATAATAACGCAAAAATCTATCTTTTATATGATGTACCACACTTAATAAAATCCATAAGAAATGCATTTTTAAAGTCAGACTTTGAAACAGCTGACGGCAATATTAAATTCGATGTAATAAGAGAATTGTAACTATAACTATAAAACTTCTTTAAAACTGTATCAGTTCAACACACAATCAAATTGTCTATAAGATGAGGATTATGGTAGAACTAGATTTCTGCATAATACTAGAAGATATTTGCAGTTCTGAATGGGGTAGATAACGAAAATTATAACAGCAAACTCGCATTTATTATGAATACGATGAAGTTATTGAACTTTTGAATTATTAAAATTTTTGTTGAATTAAGACGACGAGCCGTTTAACGAGAAAGTGGTCAAATGTTGTATGCAACATACATCGTTCCCCTAGTTCCACACCAGTAGTCCAAAAGGGAGTGTGATACGGTTCACCAAAATTTATGAATTCCCCTTTGGTGATCTCAAGGATCAAAAAATCCCGTTACAGAACTAGTAAGAAGTTATTTTGTAAAACATTTAATTTGTATAATTAAATAATTTTAAAACAGTGCCAAGTGTTAATAAATAAGTGCTCGCGAACCGACATAATTTGTTAATAATATTGTAATTTTGTCAAAAACAGTGGGAATATCGAATAACCGAACTGTCGAATCATAAAAACTGAAATAGTGCTAGCTAAGTTTGCAACGGATTATGAAGTAAATAAGATTAGACAATATGGACTTTCTTTTTAAACCCCTCAACTTGAATAGTCACAAGCATTAAAAAGTAAAAATTTTTCGCCAAGTATTCTCAACAATAGCTGGATAGATTATAATGAAATTATACTGAAATAGAAGTCTAATAGTTTTATAATAACGTTCAATTTTCTTTTTTAAATTTGACAGAATATTTAATAATCAAATTTAAAAAGTTAAACTATTTAAACCATTTCTAATTAAAATATATTCACGCAAAATTTGTCATTTTTTTAATTAATTATTTTTAAAACTAAAAATATGAAATATTTTAATTTACTCACTATTTTATATATATTAAAATTTCTTTAATATATATATAAATTTATATAATTCAAAGATATGTATTGACCTAAAATCTCAATATAATTTTCACATATTAGTTTAATGCCACAAAGTTAGAATAAATTGTTTTCAATAAGTTAATAAAATCTCATTTCCATCAAAACTTAATATGTAATTAATTCCTTGTTTTTAACTTTGCTCAAAAAGTGATGTGATTTACTTTTGTATATATATTATAAATTATATAATATAAAATAACTTATTATTTAATTATAACTTTTACCTTGAAATAGTTGTGAACGTACAGAGAACGATGTTTGGAAACTTAAATCTGCTTTATATTGAGAGTTATTTTTTGTTTTCTCATATTAATTTTATTCCTTGGATTGGATCTTATATTTGAATTCAGTGGTTCAGTGGTATCCAAAAATATCCTTTTCGAGAAAAAAATGCTTGTCCCAACCTTATAATTCCGTTTTGTTGTTCAATAAAGTTTTTATTTTGCTTTTTTGGAAGTGTTGTTAGAACGTTAAGTTCATGTATTTTAAGTCAGATTTCAACTCCTCATATTACGATGATTAGTATATTATTACATTCAATTGAAAATACTTTATCTGTTCATGTTATCAGTTATTGTAATGAAGTAATTAGTTTTAATTTCTATATTTTTTTTATTTGCACCGCAAGAACATACATCTTTTCCTGATTTAAAACCGTTCGTTTATATTTCAGGATAGAATTCCCGTAAAATAATTATTAATCTACAAAACAATTGTAGCTTTGCAAACGTTCTTGTTTTCAACATGATTCTAAAACAAAAGAATAATTAATGAAATTAATTAAAGTATCTATATATCTTACCATAAATTTCCAATAGTCGATATTAGTTGTCACAAGCAAATTATAGGAATACTGAAATTTTCTGACCTAACGTGGTACACAACTTTTTGATAACATTCATTTTGGTTAGTATTTGTCCACTTGTGAAATGAAAATTTTAAAATTAGTCACAGCATATGATACATAGAGTGCACTAAAAGTGTGACAAAATCCATCTACAACCAGAAAAAAAAAACAATTAAAAAAAAAACAATCCAATTACAATAGAAAAAAAATTTAATTGATATACTTCGTATCATATTACCGGTATACTGACTTCTTGTTGTAGCTGAGGATCGGGACAAGACAAAACACCAATCCTCCACAGCGCTACTGCCTTCTCTTTTCCTAGTTGGAAATAGGTTCCTCTCTTTTTAGTTTTTTTTACTTAGTCTATCTGCTTTATTTAACCAAAAAATAATATTTTGATCCAGAATAGAGGGATTTAATAAAAATTCAAAATTTTCTCACTGTACCATAAAAGTTTTAGTGGTATAAAAATGTGCGAACTGCTGAAGACTTAAATCAAATCTTAAATATAAATAAAAAAAAAAATTTAATTTGTAAATATAATATATATGTTACATATTAAACACACTTAAAAAATTTATACTCTTTTTTCTGGATATAAATTTGTAGCTGTGATGTTGTGGTTAAGTAATTTAACTGCTTTGGAGTTGTAGCCTTGTGGAAACCTGCAGCAACATTGACTATCCCGACTCAGTAGAACTATTTATTAAAATATGTATTTTCTGCAGAATACTGTAATTATTCTTATTAATACGTCGTGTTCAATAAAAACGATTCTTCTGTTTTTACAGAATTTTCAGGTGGAATAAAAATAAACTGAAACATAAAAAAAGTATTTGGTTAAACATTGATATTACGAAATATATATTACAAAACTAATCTTAGTAATAAAAGATAAATCAGCCAAACATTAACAAAATGAAATTAATTTTATATATGGGAATGTTTCAAACGTTTATTTTATATAAAAAAAATCAAACTCTATACATTTCATGTACCATTTCTATATTGTGACACCTATAATAAATTACAACATCGTCACAACAATAAACTTACTAATACTATTATGTGCGTAATAGTAGAAGTAATCGTACATTCAAACTTACTGGACACGTGGAGCCATTGCTAGATCATCTGCTGTGTTATTGCAACTGAATAACAAGAGCAGCAAAACCATTTTACAGACTACAAAACCATTTTAGAATGGTTTTGTAGACAATAACAAATCCAAAAAGAACTACACATCATACGTACTAGAAGAAACAGCAAAACTCCCGACAGGAAAAAAAATTTATAAAAGGAGAAACAAGAAACAGACAGACATTTCAGACATTTAATCAATTTCCTTTAACATAGCAACGTGGCCCCTCGATAACGTTGATCTCTAAACCTAACAACGTGGCCCAGTCGGTTACGTTGACCTCCTTATCTAGCAACAGGCCTAGTCGGTAACAATGATCTCCAAACCTAACAACGTGGCTCGGTCGGAAATGTGATCTCCTAACCTAGAAATGTGGCCCAGTCGGTAACTTTGATTTCCTAATCTAGCAACGTGGCCCAGTCAGTAACATTGGTTAATTTTCTAAAATACCTAAAGTTCTTATAATTTCAGATTTTAACATTTTTAATTTAGTTATTTAGTATTGTAAGTTTAAGGAAATAAAAATATTGTAATATAATAAAGAAAATAAACAAAAATTAACAAGTCTTTAAAAATAATATTACGAGAGGAATCAGGGTTATCAATAAAAATATTCATCTAACACCCGCGAGCTATCTCACCTATTAACGGCCTTGAATGAGTACAAAACAAAATATAATATATAAAATAGGGTTTTGGATAATCCCTATAAATCCGTGTAAATATTATACTCCTGTTTATAAGAATTAGTGCAACATCATCGGTTTTGATAGTATATTATCGCCTTTCGTTGGTTTTTTAGAATAATGCTGTCAGCATATATTCGTTATATATTGGGTATCAAAACAATATGGTGTCAATGCCAATTGCTATTATCAAGTACCATTATTACTATTACTATTATTACAGTTGACAATTAATTAAACGATCTTCAGCTTTTATAGTTCACAAATAGAACAATCTTAGCGGTTATAATCATTTTCATTCAAAAGTAGACTCAGGCACAACCGTTGCTATTCTTTATTCAAAAAATTTATCTTTGGCCTAAAAACCATGTCTCAGGAAATTTGAAATTTGAGGAGACATTTAATCGCACTGAAAAAGACGCAATTCTTAATATGTTATTTCGAAGTATGTGGTAGGCGTAAACACATTTTTAACAGATCGCTGAAAAAGTGGACAGACTTATATTAAATATATAAATATATAAACTGAATGAAATAAATACTTCCTTTATTATCTGAATCATATTTTTTTTTAGCAGAAATGTAAATGACGGGCAAAAGTCTCGAAAAATTAATAACAATCAGTGGTTAAACTTTACATTTATTGTATTGTCACTGCCTCCTAATAATATATCAATTAATTCAACACTTCTTATCATGACATGCAAATATATCTTATTAGACTAATTACTCCTATGAGAAAGGGTATAAAATAGAGAATAATTATTCGCAAATACATTTTGTACACTAATAGAGAATTTAGAGCTATATTGTTTTATTGACACCATTTTTAACAACTGGACATATTTTTAAGGACAATATGAAATAAAATATATAAATTACAAATTTGGAATATATTTCGGATCTTACAATTTTTAAATTAAAAAAATATTTAAAAAAAAACTGTCGTGCAGTTATTCTAGTAATTTCTAAAAGATAGAGATTTTATTACCTTTAATTATTTCTGCGATTTTACCTCCGCACAATTAAAATTTTTATGTTTAACACAATTTAACTTTAATTTTGTACACAGCCAAGTAAAACAACGCCATCCTCCTGTTATCCGTTCTTTGAAATAAATAGATCACAGCCTTCATATAACTGTTTGACTTCTACTTTTCTCATCCAATACTATGTCTAACTTGCTTAATTCTTATTATTGAAATCGAATGGGCCAATTATTATAAAATTATCTGTATTTACAATAACTAAATCCATCTGGATAATATCCCATAACAAACGAAGTCAGTTCTAATATTCCAATTTAAAACGTATTTTGGTTGGAGAAAAGTTAAATCTAGTAATTTATATAAACATAATTTGTTAATGGACACAAACTTACATGTATATTAGTTATTCTTCTACATAATATATACATACATTGTACACATATATTTAAGTATAGATGGTTTACGACTCTGGTGCGCCATTGGGTCACTTCTCTTGCTCTTTCAATTAACATATTTTCTAAGAGCATACAAAATCTGAAACAGGTTAAAAATAAATAATTATATATTTAAAAATTATACTGTACATAATGTAACAATGCTTAAATATTTCCAATTCAATTACATAAATATTTACACTGATCTCTTTTAATCTCATTATACTTCAAACAAATAACTATATGTGCTTATTTTATTATTAATTTACAATGGAAATATTAACAACTAATTATCAATTTGATAATTACCAACATGTATTTATACATACATAAGTATTTAAAACACCAATTTTTTCTCATATCATTTACGATTTTAATGGCGAGTCGAATGACGTCATTTACATAACGGAACTTTATTTGAAAAAAATCTCTTAAGATTGGCGTCAATTCCCAAAAAGCACAATTCTTATATTTAATGAAATCAAATACTTACATTTACAAACTTAGTAAAAATTCTTAATTGAAGTATTTTTAATTTAATCCACTAACATAAAATATATTCTATATTATGTGGTTATCGTTTAATTTTTTTATATTTAACACTCACAGAAATATTCAAACGTTAGCACATCAGACGACTCCCGCGGACATTTTTCAATTGAAGTATATTTTCTTTTGACATTCTCTATACTAGCTCATTCACAATAAATAAAAATTAAATGTAATGTGTGTGTAAAGAATACCTTACAAGAACTGCAACTCCATTGTGAACTAAAATTTGTTTTTTCTATAAAAAAGCTAATTGTCGTGAAATTTTACATAGTATAATGAAAAATGCACTAGCATTAGCTGGTATCTCTCGTAAATGCTTTACTTTTTTCTTTATTAAAAAACCTTCAGGTACATTCCAAACGAAATGTTTCGAAAAACTTATCACAATGACCGTAAAAAAGAGTATAGTTTTATTTATAGTTTCATTTTAATGGCTTGTTTCCTAGCGAGAATTATAAAATTTAGTTTCGCGAAAGCACAAAAAACTTACCGTGCAAGTACTTTAAAAATGTATGTACCTAATATACTACTAAGGCTGTGTGCGAGTTCAACTAAATTGAGGTAAAGTAAATTGAAATTTGAAAAAATTTTGTACTACACTTATGCATATATTTGTTTATATATTTATTGCACTTATTTATTGTTTTTGGTTAAAAGTTTTGAAATCTGTTTATTTATTTATTAAATATTTTATAAAATTATCACAATGGGAACACCTAATTTAACTAATTTTTATCTAATTTACTCTTCGAGTAGAGTGTTCTGGTGAATATCAACATTCGCTGCTATACCAACATAATTTACTAATTCCCTCAATTTACCATTAATTTACTTGAACTCAAACACGGCCTAAGTATGTAACATATTGGACTAATATTAATACGAATAAACTTTGTGAGCAAAAATTATTTTATGTATAAAAAGTAAAAAAATATATTAAGGGATGCAAAAATGTACAATGTTTTTTTTTTAATTTTCACAGAATAATATGCCTATTCTTTTGTAAGCATATTGCAAAATAAAATCGTTTATTTACAAAATAAGAAACAACAACACTGCTGACGTGTCTAGTTTAACTTCGTTGTAACCCCTTTACTACTAAGGCCGTGAGCGAGTTCAAATAAATTGATGGTAAATTGAGGAAAATAGTATATTATGTTGGTATGGCGGCGAATGTTGAAATTTACCGGAATTTCGAGTAGAGTAATTTAGATAAAAATTAGCTAAACTAGGTGTTCCCTTTGTGATAATTTTATAAGATGTTTAATAAGTAAATAAGTAAATTTTAAAACTTTTAACCAAAAACAATAAATAAGTGCAATAAATATATAAACAAATATTTACATAAATGCGGTACAAAAAATTTTTCAAATTTCAATTTGCTTTACCTAAATTTCAATTTACTTTTAACTAAATTTTATATTTCTCGCTAGAAAACAAGTCATTAAAATGAAACTATAAATGAAACTATACTCTTTCTTACGGTCATTGTGATAAGTTTTTCGAAACATTCCGTTTGGAATGTACCTGAAGGTTTTTTAATAAAGAAAAAAGTAAAGCATTTACGAGAGATACCAGCTAATGCTAGTGCATTTTTCATTACACTATGTAAAATTTCACGACAATTAGCTTTTTTATAGAAAAAACAAATTTTAGTTCACAATGGAGTTGCAGTTCTTGTAAGGTATTCTTTACACACACATTACATTTAATTTTTATTTATTGTGAATGAGCTAGTATAGAGAATGTCAAAAGAAAATATACTTCAATTGAAAAATGTCCGCGGGAGTCGTCTGATGTGCTAACGTTTGAATATTTCTGTGAGTGTTAAATATAAAAAAATTAAACGATAACCACATAATATAGAATATATTTTATGTTAGTGGATTAAATTAAAAATACTTCAATTAAGAATTTTTACTAAGTTTGTAAATGTAAGTATTTGATTTCATTAAATATAAGAATTGTGCTTTTTGGGAATTGACGCCAATCTTAAGAGATTTTTTTCAAATAAAGTTCCGTTATGTAAATGACGTCATTCGACTCGCCATTAAAATCGTAAATGATATGAGAAAAAATTGGTTTTTTAAATACTTATGTATGTATAAATACATGTTGGTAATTATCAAATTGATATTTAGTTGTTAATATTTCCATTGTAAATTAATCATAAAATAAGCACATATAGTTATTTGTTTGAAGTATAATGAGATTAAAAGAGATCAGTGTAAATATTTATGTAATTGAATTGCAAATATTGAAGTATTGTTACAATATGTGCAGTATAATTTTTAAATATATAATTATTTATTTTTAACTTGTTTCAGATTTTGTATACTCTTAGAAAATATGTTAATTGAAAGAGCAAGAGAAGTGACCCAATGGCACATCAGAATCGTAAACCATTTATACTTAAATAACATATATGTGTACAATGTATGTATATATTATGTAGCAGAATATCTGTAATATACATGTAAGTTTGTGCCCATTAACAAATAATTCTACAAACACATAGCAGTAAAAGCCTGCGTTCACTCTTTAATATTTAAATTAAAACAAAATTCTCACAAATATTATATTTAATAGCCTGTGGGATAATTTCTGTATTTAGCTTTGCAGTATCCTGTGCGTTTTTTTTATTTTGCTATTCTTCCTTAGTGACGTTTCTTAACATATCCTTGCTGGTAATTGTGTGCTGACGAATCTTTTTTTTTCAAATAATCCCATAGATATTCTATGAGATTAAGATCTGGTAAATGTGGTGGTGTTTGAAGTTGCCTGGTAGCATGGTCCCGTTCGATCGCTGCTTTATGCTTAGTGTCATTGTCCTGCTGAAACAAAAAGGATGCCTTAAGCCCTAACATTCTGGCACTTTCTTTCGTTACCGCCACCATTACTTGCTATAATTATGCCTACACCACAATGTTTCACCATTGAAATCAAGCTTGGTTTATAATAGGCTGTATATGATTTTCTCCACACAAGTTTTCTATCTTTAATTCCAAATATGCGAAATTATCGCTCATTGAAGAAAATAACTCGTTTTTAGAACTCCATAGGTTTATTTACATGCTTTTTTCCAAAGCTTAATTGTTTTATTCCAATATATTTGAATATGTATGGTTTCTTTCTTGCGACTCGGGTATAATACTTGGTTTTCTTCAAAATTTTCCGCACAGTATCAGGACATATTTTGTTTTCAAGAATTTTGGCAATATGTTAAGCTAGTTTGGAGGCTGTTACTCTTGGATTTACTTTCATGATGATGCTGCGTCTTTCACAATCTGACAGAATTGATGGGCGACCAGGGCAAGGTTTAGAAACGTAAGTGCTCGTCTCTTTGAAGTTATTTATAACATAGAAGTCAACTGATAATTAAATATCATTTAATTATATAATTATGTTTGGAAGGGAGCTTAAATCAACGGTAAATCTAAATATCAAGAAATGAATGCAGACTTTCTCTGCTTCAAAAACTGTTGCTTTTACATATAACTGTGTTTAACTTTGTTTTAAAGAATAAATTCAAATTTTTTATGTTTGAACTTCATTGTTGTTTCTTTGGTTGAATTAAATCAGAAAACAAAAATCAATTTGAGTAAAAATTAAATAAGTTATGCGAATAGCAGACTTTTTATGCTATGTGTATATATAATTGAGAACAAAGAATACTGGATAAAAATAAAGTTCTTAGTAATTTTAGTATTAGATTTTCAAATACGTAATAAGTAGGATCTATCAAGTTTCCGTTGAAATTTTCAAATAAATTATTTCGAATTATTTAAAATGTAGTTGAATCCCTTGTTTGACAACAGGAGTATGCTAAAGAGTTTTATGTATGTGAGCTTCAAGTATAGTTTAACTTCTTCAACTATAGTTGAGAACCTGCTTTGTATATTACAGAAGCATTAACTTTCTAGCGAAAGCTAAATAAATTTGAGCTGTATCAACTATAGTTGAATAGCTTGTTTTATAACAAGAGTATGTTTTAAGTCTCTTTCGAAATTTTCAAGTAAATTATTTTGAATTATTGACAATGTAGTTGAAATCTTGTTTGACAACAAGAACCTTTAGGATCTCTTTGTTCTAAAGGTTTGTTTCTTAATTTTTGAAAATCAAGATTTGTGTCCACTGATTCTTGTTTTTAATTTGTTTTTGGTTATTCCAATATAGATCATGTCTCATGATTCATTGTTGTTCCCCATGCATGATATTTTATACATTATGTGGAACCTTTCCTTTTTTTGTTTTTTATTTTTTTGTTGGTTTATAAAAAAATTGTGCAATATTGTTTTCTATATGCGTTGCGATGATATATTGTTTCTTATCATAACATTTTGAATTTTCGATTAGTACATTTTTAGTTATTTTACTGGTTTTTCGTTTATTGTTTTTTCTGTGGTTAGTTTTCGAGGTTTTGTTTTTTGACCCACTACTTCTTTTAGTTGGGAAGCTGTTTTTTGTGAGTTTTCTATTACATTGTTTTTATTCTCCTTGTTGAACATTGTGTCACTTGTTGCAAGTTCTTTATTCACAAAGTTGATCAATTTATTAATTATTATACTCTTTACGGTGTTTTGAGTTGAAATTTAGCAGTCTTCCTGAAGCAGTTTGTTTTTGATACGTCAATGTTTATTTTGTTATCTCTTGTAATGGCTATAGTGTCGAGGTATGGTAGTTTCTTTATTAAAAACTACTTGCTTATTAGATAAACAATTAGACAATACATTAATCTATATAGTAATAATTAAGAAAATCAATCCATCACGTTATAATTACAAAAACTATGTATAAGTATGAATAAATAACAATATGTATAAAAATGAAAAGATGATGTATAAAAATTAATAAAATATGTATAAAAATATGTATAAGAGAAAACAAACTGTCTATGAAATAAGATAAATACTTATGTTGAATAATTACAAGAAATAAATAAGTACATCAATATTGAAACAAACAAATATATATAAAAA